AATTGAACCTAAACATGAATTTAAACAGTCATCAAAATCATTTTTCTAACATGTCTACACGCTATGCTACTGCCTCACAGCTTTAAAGAGAATCTGAATTAGCTTAAATTGTGCTCAGATAGAACACAGTTGCCAGTGACACGAATAATCTTGATGATTTATATAAGGATTAGTAATTTTTTCATGAAAAAAGGGTGCTTTTGTTTGCACTATACATAGGTTTTGCTTGATCTAGTTCTTGTCGAACTTTTGAGCAAGGTTGTTATTACTGATTTATTCAAATTGCGCCCTTGCAAATTTAGGGAATCTGAAGGTCTTCTTTAAGTGTCATGAATGAGGTAGAATGCACCATGGTGATCCTGTAAGATTGATAATAATGCTAGCAAATCAGATTATGTTTTATAGAAAACAAAAGTTAGTATTAGGGGTATGCAAAAACCGATTTATCCAATAAACCGAACCCAAAAAAACACTATTGGTATATTGATAATGGGTTATTGGGCTAACGGTTTTTAAACGGTTTTGCAAAAATTTTTATTGGGTTATTGGTTCGGTTTCCGGTTTTATGATTTTTGTTAATGGTTAAATCGATAACCCAATAAGACTATACTAAATTTACTAGTCTTATTGTTAATGGTTAAACGATTGTTACTTCCACACTTTTTCCTTTGAATTGTGTCTAGTGTCTAAACTTGCAAGAAAAATGATTGTTACTTTTATGATTATTACTTTCATGCCAAATGCTGGAAAAATCATATGGTTTATTTGAAAATTTTCTTATCGTGTATATAATATATATGAGTATTTTCTTATTGGTTAAACAGAAAACCGAACTGTTAAGTACCATAAACCGATAAGAAATATGTTATTGGTTTGGTTATCGGTTTGATGTATTTACAAACCGAAAACCGATAAACCGAACCAATAACACCTAAAACCGAACCGAACCGAACCGACCGATGCGCACCCCTAGTTAGTATAAGAGATTGATAAATAATGTCTAGTCATTCGTAAAAACAGTGATGTGAAGTTAGAAGTTAAGATTATTATAAAGGAAAATGACTTTTGTTCGTAAGTGAGGAAAGTCATTTCCCCTCTTTCAATAGAAAAAGTTATTCTTGCAAAACATTTTGTGACAATTAATCACCCATGACATATTTTTGGAAGGTGTCATCTGGAATATAGTTTCCCCCATTCCAAACACGTTAGTGGCAAAGAGAGTTTGTTTTGTTAAAGTTTTGAAAGAAACAAAAGCTGAAGTCATGCTTGTTAAAGAGGGATAGATTGAGAAAAGTGAATTAGAGACGCATGACATATGTTTTTTGATTTAGATGTAAGAATAAATTGCGGGGCGAGTCAACAATTGTTTACCTGTAAATGCAGAGGAAGATTCGTTGAACTCACCACCAAAAGAATTGCCTCTATGTCAAACTTTGAATCTCATGGTAACAAAGTTAGAACTTATCACAAACTAAATATCTTTGCTTTGCTGCGTGTTTTCAAAAGAAAACTAGAGAAACATCTCTGTTGAAGTAAAATGAGTTCTATTTTTGATATCCATAGAGAAGTTATATATTTCTCTTAGAGAAAAACTGATCACATCCACCATTTTTTGATCATGTGGTGGTTTAGTTTTAGATAACTTAATCTTTATCTCTTTCAACGGGTTTGGGTGGGGTCGGGTCAGCCCACATGGGAGATCCAATATCCAGTAGTACTGTGCCATTTGGTATCTAGTTTTCAAGATTTTCTTCAAGGGACTAGAACTTGGGGTTTGTTGCTCAGAAAATGAATGATCCTGCCCAATGCAAGAACTATAATTCTTGCTGAAACTCTCTCTTCCCATGAGGACAAAGGGTCAAAAACAAGACGGTAAACAAGGAAGATGATATCTCAGCACTGTTATCCATTTGTCCTGATTCTTGCTAGTTTTCAAAATGCAGTGGAATAAGAAATAGGGCAGTAAACAATGTTATTCACTTGTTTTAGTATTCGCTAATTGTCAAAATGTAGCGGGAATAAGAAACAAGATCATAAACAAGGAAAACAATTTCTAAACAATGTAATTCATCTGTCTGGTTTTTGCTACTTGTCAAAAAACAAGACAGCAACAAGGAAGATGCTATGTAAAACTGTTATCTAGTTATTTTGAAAGAAAACCTGTTATCCATTTGTCTTAACGTTTGCTAATTGTCAAATGCAGTGCAAGGTGTGCATGCAGACATTCATTTGCACCACTTCTGAAGTTAAGTGCAGAGAACACGCTGAGGCGAAACATCCCAAATCTGATGTCAATGCATGTTTCCCTCATCTCAAGAAATGATTCACATATCAGAGTCTGGGCTGATGGTTGTTTCCCAACTATGTTTCTAAATTCTGTTAACCATGATAAAGTTTGAATCTGTTCAAAAGTTGTTGCTTCGTTCTGCTTCAAACTGTTGATGGCTACTTAGTTTGGAACTCTGTGTGAAATATATGTCTATAATAACTGCCTCCTCTTGGATTCATATCTTCTAGACTTGTCGAGCGTAATGCTTTACCTTGTCATGCTGATTAAGTATTTACTATTGCTAGTTTTAAACATTCACCACCAAGTATTTGGTGGGGTAGAAGTGATCCTTTGTCTTTGACCAGAGGTTTTGGGTTTGAGGTCTGTGAATCGAGTCGCTCTAGACAGGCAGTGTTACGCCCCAAAGTAGAACCTTTTCGGCACGATTCTAATATTAATCAGGGTCGAAAACGGGCACCAGACACTGATGGGAAACCCAAGAAGGGTTCTAATCATTTAGTCTGTGATGTGATAGCATTCAAGTCTATCATTGTGGTCTGACCTTATCTTCTGCGTCTTTATCTTCTTTTTTAAGTTTTTCTTGAGGAAGAGCAGAAATCACTGCTGTTATGTTTTGGAAAAAGATTTAAGTAGGGATGCTGATTGTTTGAAATCACGTAATTAGAGATTTAACTGCTCATGTTCAAAGCCGAAATAGAAGTCCGGTGCAAAATTTTAGTAGCTCAATCACTAATTTTAGTAGCTTAATTGATTGACTAATTTTAGTACCTCAATTGATTGACCATTTAAACTTTCATCTTGTTATTGAGGATTCGATCCTTGTAACCCCCATTTCTTGTTTTCCTACTCCCAATTTGTTTTTTAAAAACAAAAAACACAGACGTCAGGTTGTTGACTACTTATTAGCTAGAATATGAAAGACGTAGATTATGGAAAAAGACATTTTTTAAAACAAATTTAGGAGTAGACATGATTTTTGCCCAAGAGTAAAATACATGACTAGAAACTATTAGGTGATATTTTTTCATTTGTTTTTAATCTTGATAGATAAAATTACTCGGTACTTGTTGGTGATGGAAAACGGCAGGTATGTAATGGAATTAATTAAAATATGCACATGATGAATCGGACAGCGAGGTTTCTGATTGTGATTTTAATATAGTCAAGTTTATTTGGAGTACATAGATAGAAGTCTTTAAAAAAAAGAAAAGCTATTAGAACTACTGAAAGACATTGTTATTTTCTTAAGCATCTCTTGTGTAATATCAACTTCTTATCTGAACCAACAACGTATACGTTTCGAAATTAGTGACATTGAACCAACTTTTATTTGTATAACAAAAATACGTAATTGTCTCATATTCTTTTCCACGTAACAATTTCTTATTACTGAAAAAGGGAAAGCTATTTTTAAAAATCATTATTAGCGTTTAAATTGATTTTCTTGTACCATACTATATTGATTGGGATGAATGAAACTAATTTAATCACAACAACACTATAATCAAGTCAGCAAACTAAGCACGTCTCTAGTAAGTAAGTCACACTTTCATTCTTCCAAATGTAGATTATTTTTATTTTATTCGTAAAAATATATTCCTTCATCCATAAAAATAAAAGTTAAAAATGAAAATACTAGCAATTAGCTAGCATACTTTTGCTAAATTATGTATTGTAAATATCTTTCTAAGAAACAATACTTATATGTATAAAAATGAGTCAGTACCATTTGATAATAATTCACTGAATGACAATAATTTCAATCCTGAACCAGAAATTCCAGGTTTGACTTTGGAAATAAAATTGTCTTCTGATAAAAAAAAAAAATATTCTACCCAAAGTGAGATTTCTATGTACAAAAACAAATTAGGATCATTTAGCCCAAACCAGATAGGTGCAAAAAGTTCTATAAGAAACTGATGTAAACTGACGGGGAGTACTTAAATGGTAAGTATCTTTCACTTCCAATCTTAACATTATGAATTCGAGTCATCAAAACAACAAAAAAAAAGATGAGAATTTCTAGGGAGAAATTAAAAAGAGAGAGAGAAACTTCATAGCTCCTCCAAGCAAGGTTAACCAGATAGTAAAAATGCAACTTTATTTTTTAACTAAGTTCACCGTAAGCTAACACTGATATTTTATCAGTGACTCCGACTTCAGACCCCTCGTGAGCCTTGCCATAAACGGAATGTTGGCATCACCCAACATTTGCAAATCAAATTGTGACAATAAAGGATCATTATTCACACAAAAATTTGCATATGTAACTGCATGTTGTAACGCCTAATCAGTGACCACGAACTGCATGAGTATGGGCGGAGTTACAAGAGGCACAAGTTCATCAGAAAAGTACATTTGCTTTTTTATATTTTGAATTTCGCGAAAATTCTGCTTCCACCATTGCCTAGATAGGCAAAATTAAACATTTTTTAAAGTAAAATATGTTGCATGATAAGAGGAGTTACTCAGACGATAATATTCGAGTCAGAACAACAACAAAAAGGTGAAAGCTCGTAGCGAGAAAAAACTGATTGCACATATATTTTTATTTACATGCCTAAACTGTAATTCCGATGACTATTTTACACTGATTTTCCCCAACTTTCCAATCGTCAAAAAGCCAAAAACAGATAGAAAAATTCGATCCAAAACTAATTTACATACTTACAGTGAATTAAAATCACTCGATTTTCACTTTTCTTAACCGCTAGCGAGGGTGGTGCTGAGGAAGCCGGAACCGAAACTGCGACGCCGGAGATCTAACAGCAACGCCGTGCCAACATATACCACCTCTACACAACTCATCGGAATGATGACGTGGCTGATTCCGATTCTGAGTAAGATAACGATCGCGTGTAAAAGCACACCTAGTAACCTTACGTGACACATCCCACGTCAAACTCAAAATCAATACACTTCCTACAACAGCTGTTGATACAATCAGTACAAAAACTCCGCCGTAGCTCCGTCCAGTCATCAATCCGTACGCCTTCATTGCCGCTATCACTAACAGGTACAACGTCGTTAAATTCCCCACTACAGTATCCGAAATCGCCATAATTATTGGTCTTCTAAGATCAAAATTAAGTTGAAATTTGGTAAATTTTGAGTCTGCAGCAGGTAGTGAACTGATAATAAAGGGTTTTAAAAAGGGATTATGGTATGGAGTGAGAATTACGAAATTTTCGATTTGGGGTTGGGGTAGGGGTAGGGGGGTGTAAGATAATGCTATGGGTTCTGAGCTTATCTTCTTTTTATTTTCAGTATTTTGAGGAAAGGGAAAGGTAGCAGTGAATCTGATTCAGTATTCCAACTATAGAGACTCGTCCATTGGCTCATAATTACTCCGTTCGTTTCAATTTGTTTGTGTTATTTTTTTCTCTTTTAAAATTAAGGTAGCAGTCAAGTGCTAGCTAACTTTTAAATAATATGTTTACTATTACTCCATTTTTTCTATTATATCTTTAATTTAATTATATTGAGTTAAAGTCTTTGAAAAATTGTAGTGAGTATGTTTGGGATTTTATCAATTAATAAAGGTAAAATGGTAAATTCATTATACTATTCATTATTTTCTTAATAAGTGTGACAAATTAAAATTTGGCTAGTAAATAGACACGGAGGAAGTACTAGATATCTTTAATTTAAGATAATAAATTATTATTTTTTTAAATATTTTTATAAGAAATTATTTTAAATCAAAATTAGATAAATAAATTGAGACGAGAACGATTAAAAATTATGATCATCCAAAAATATGATGACGTGTGTCTAAAATGTGGGACACTGTGGGTATTATCACCTTTATTTAAACGTGGCGGCACAATATTCCTTATTGCCACTTTAAAGATAGCCAACTATGTCGTCATTTCAATGCAGGAAAAAAATTATAATGATAAAGGTTCAATCAATAATAGTTGTGTGAGGCTCCATTTTTTTTTGACACTTGAATGGTGGACCCATTTTTTTATTTTTTTACTATTTTTCTTCTACTCATTCTTCTTTTCTTTCATTTTTTTACTACTAAGTCCTAATAAATATCCAACTCCCAACTATATAAGTAAACAATTGATATAATTAATAAAAATACTAATAAATATTTTTTGTCAAATGAAAACGTTCTCATGACTGAATATTAAATATAATCTTATTATTTATTATTGTTAATAGTATAAAATTAACTTAAAAAATTCAGTTTCTTAATTATTAGCGTTTTTCAAAAATTAAATTAATTCAAATTTATTATTTGATAGCTCTTTTTGTTTTGTCTTAGACTTTAGTTCATATATGTGCAGTCATTAT